AAAGGAAACAAGTGGATCTTTGTTCAGCAAATAACCTAAGAGATTATTAGAACAAGGAGGTTCTGATACCACTTGTTGGTCCTGGTTATATTGGGTACAGTCTAGAGGGGGGGTGAATAGACTGTACTGGTTTTAAAACTTTTTCAAGCTAAATACCAGATTTAATAGAATAGCCTGTTCTGTTGGCAGAACAGACTGGCAGCGGATGGGGTTCTGGTAGGGGTTCTGTCAGATTGGCCTCAGAGAAGCAAAGGCAGTAGGCCTTCTGTTAACTCACAAGACACGTTCTGCTGAACACAGAGACCAAGTCTTTGGAGTTAATCAGTTCAAACAAAAAGCGATAAATAAGTGCAGTAAGTAAATGACACCAGGGATTTTTATAGTGGTTCAAGGAACAACTCGTTCATCTAATCCACTGTTCCACTATGCTTGTAAAAACGTCCGTTTACAACGCCTTAGTCCTAGCACTTAAGAAGCTCTCCATGTCTTCTTCAAGTCTAGATGTCTCCTGGGATACACTTCCTGGCTTCCTTTAAGACTGGTCCTTTCACTGAGCTTCCCGGAAGTATCACCACTTCACTACTCCAGTTACTTGGATGTCCTTCTTGTGAAAGAAGAGTTTCTGTTGAAACAGGGGTTCCTCCAACTTGCTTCGTTACAAAAGATTTGTAGATGACGTGCTTGAAGTTGTTGAAGAACGAATGGAACTTTGCTTGAGTTGGAAATGAAAAGATGTGAGTAGATAATCTTTCCAACGTCTACCTTCTCTTGTAGAAGATGATGAAGATTTAATCTCAAGGAGGCTTTAGCGTTTTAATGTTTGAATGTTACTGTATTTTCAATGTTGTAGCAAAGTTGTTTTGTTGTTCTTCGTAATGAATCTTTTATACTGAGGTTGTCTTCCCGTTGGAGGAGGAGGAGGACAACTGCATTAAATGTGTGAGCAGTTGACTTGACCAGTAGGCCCCAGCAAAGTTGGCGGGTTACTATTTTGGGATAGAGCTATCCTGACATTGCGGCCAATCATCTGCATTTACTCTACAGAATACGGGAGGCAATAAATGTGCATTTAATGCGCGTACTGTAGTTCTTCCGTTGAAGTCTTCTAGCCGTTGAAGGAATCTTTCGTTGGTTTCACCGGTTGAAGTAGTATCAAGAAAATTCTCCAAGTGTCAGGCTTTCTGGTGTCTTCGGCAGAGGGTCGATCAGAGAAGGTCTTGAGCACTTCTGTTGGAGAAAGCTATCAGAGACTCTTGAGGGTTTCTGTTGAAGATAAGTCCAACAGAGAACTAGGAGGGTTTTTGTTCGTGTAAGAACTAAAAGAGACCCAGAGGTCTTCTGTTCTGAAGCAGAGAGCCAAAGGTCCTCTGTTAGGGCACAGCCTATCAGGGATCTTCTGTCAGGAGGTCTTCTGTTAGTCGACTAATCTAAGAAACTTTACAAGGAAAATTTTCTAATACATTAAATCTAAAGAAGGGGTACTCTAAAGTCCTAATTAATATAGCATCATCAAAATCTAATTACAATTATTCCTTACAATTGAGAATAAAAGAAGATGTTTTTGTTTCTATTTCTTTAATAGCAACTCGATTGTAATACGGTCATGTTTTACCTTTTTGAGTGTGTCTGCAACCGATTTGTCGTTTGAGGACAAGCAACGCTTAAGTGTGAGGAGATTGATAAGTCCATTTTTGTACTTACTTTACTTATCAAATTTAAGCGATTTTTGGATTGAAAGTATAAAAACAAGGTATGCTTTATATATTTTGGTTCAAGTTTCATGAAATCGGGTAAAAATCACATTCATAACATGTTTGGCGAAATTTCGGGTCAATTGCGTGAAGAAAGTGACATTTTTTTGCCAACAAATGAATTGCTACGGAATTTTTCAAGATATATTGACAAATTGTTCAATGAGAAGATTCCAAGAGAGGAAGAAATCATGAAAGGAAGCTCAAAAACCAAGAAGGGGTCGCCTATATGACCACTTTTGATGAAAATGGACAATGCATAAAGACACATGCTCGTATTTTGATCATAACTTGGCGCATGATTGACTAACGTTTGTGATACCAGTTGCATTACATTGAAATCTTCTTGCTCTACAACTCCTATGAAGAACACATAACCAAATAACAATTGTAGAATGGCAATATTGCTCAAAGAATTCAGACATTTGCAGTTGCAATGGAAAGTGACATGTGCTTACCGTTTTGATCATATCTCATAAACTACAAATCCAATGCATGTAATTCAAATTCCATTAGTTATCCAAGAAAGAGATCCACAACTTTGGTGAAGCCAACTTTTCCATTTGACGTAAGGCGGTCGACAAGGCGGCCGCCTTTCTGGGCGCCTACAAATTTTCGACAGTTTTAGCACACCACACTTTGCATAACGACAAAATGATGGAAGGCTGCCGACGGGGGACGGAGGGAGGACGCCCTCCGTGGCTGCCTGCGGCCGGATGTGATGTTTGAGATACCGGTCGCTGAGACACTGTATTTACGCTAAAAGTGCTCTATTTTCGCTGAAAACGCTAAATCATAGAGATAAGGCTAAGTATTTGTGACACTCATATCTTGTTGTGTGTTTATCCGTTTGGAGCGTATTATATCTCGTTGGAAAGATAGATAGAAGCTCTAAAGCTATTGTTCCAACTTCATTTACAATGCATTAATTAAAAATTACAGATTAACCATATATTCACAAATGTTTCTGATTTCACTCCGAACTCCTGTAGAATTTGATGTGATCATATCTTGCACTATTTTGTGCCGTTGAAAGAGTTTAATACGGAGCATCTCGTTGGAAATATTTTACCGATTTCTAAAACTTGTCTTCAGGCGCTGGTTTCAAAATATCAATGGATGATTTCCTAATTACTAAAATACACTGTATTTACGCTAAAAGTGCACTATTTTCGCTGAAAACGCTAAATCATAGAGATAAGGCTATGTATTTGTGACACTCATATCTTGCTGTGTGTTTATCCGTTTGGAGCGTATTATATCTCGTTGGAAAGATAGATCAGAGCTCTAAAGCTATTGTTCCAACTTCATTTACAATGCATTAATTAAAAGTTACAGATTAACCATATATTCACAAATGTTTCTGATTTCACTCCGAACTCATGTAGAATGTGATGCGATCATATCATGCTCTATTTTGTGCCGTTGAAAGCGTTTAATATCTCGTTGGAAATATCTTACCGAGTTCTAAAACTTGTCTTCAGGCTCTGGTTTCAGAATATCAAGAGATGATTGCCTAATTACTAAAATACACTGTATTTACGCTAAAAGTGCTCTATTTTCGCTGAAAACGCTAAATCATAGAGATAAGGATAAGTATTTGTGACAGTCATATCTTGCTGTGTGTTTATCCGTTTGGGGCGTATTATATCTCGTTGGAAAGATAGATCGGAGCTATAAAGTTATTGTTCCAACTTCATTTACAATGCATTAATTAAAACTTACAGATTAAAAATATATTCACAAATGTTTCTGATTTCACTCCGAACACGTGTACAATTTGATGTGATCATATCTTGCTCTATTTTGTGCCGTTGAAAGCGTTTAATACCTCGGTTGAAAGATCTTACCGAGTTCTAAAACTTTTCTTCAGGCGCTGGTTTCAAAATATCAAGGGATGATTGCCTAATTACTAAAGTACACTGTATTTACGCTAAAAGTGCTCTATTTTCGCTGAAAATGCTAAATCATAGAGATAAGGCAAAGTATTTGTGACACTCATATCTTGCTGTGTGTTTATCCGTTTGGAGCGTATTATATCTCGTTGGAAAGATAGATCGGAGCTCTAAAGCTATTGTTCCAACTTCATTTACAATGCATTAATTAAAAGTTACAGATTAACCATATATTCATAAATGTTTCTGATTTCACTCCGAACTCGTGTAGAATTTGATGCGATCATATCTTGCTCTATTTTGTGCAGTTGAAAGCGTTTAATATCTTGTTGGAAAGATCTTACCGATTTCTAAAACTTGTTTTCAGGCGCTGGTTTTAAAATATCAAGGGATGATTGCCTAATTACTAAAATACACTGTATTTACGCTAAAAGTGCTCTATTTTTGCTGAAAAACACTAAATCATAGAGATATGGCTAAGTATTTGTGACACAATTATATCTTGATGTGTGTTTATCCGTTTGGAGCATATTATATCTCGTTGGAAAGATAGATCGTAGCTCTAAACCTATTGATCAAAGAAGGGCAATGAATAACATTAAACTAATGATGGCTTTTATAAAGATTGAATTATAAAATATGGGTACATCCTTATAGCTAAGTATTCATTGCCCTTCTTTGATCAATCCATTTAGAGTTTAATGTTATATTTTTCATTTAGTTTATTTTAGAGCCATCATTAGTATTTGCATAATTTAATTTACTTTATTTTTCAAAAGTAGTTTAGAAAATCAATCAAAAGTTTTAATTTGGAAAGCTTCCAATAATTTGCGATAACCTGTGACTGGACTTAAAATCACGAAACTCCTCTGTCTTTCCTCAAGAGACACGATACTCGGGGAAAAACCGAAAGGTTAGACTCCGTTTTACTAGAACGCCGCGTAAGCGGTTATCAGATGGCTTGTTTGAGAGTGCATTTTACTGTTTTACCTGTTGATGCTGATGACGTTGTTGTGCAGCAGTACGCAAGAGCCTACATTTTGATGCTTATGGGAGCCTCCACATTTGCGAACAAGAGCGGTAATGGGGTGCAGGTCTTGTATTTATCCATCCTGGATACTTTTGATGTAGCATCGCTTTATAGCTGGGGTAATGCGACTTTAGCATACCTATATCGGCAGTTGTGTCGAGGTTGCCATTGTGACGGTGGAGAGATGGGTGGTTTTTTATTGCTCATACAGCTATGGTCGTGGGAGCACATTCATATCGGCACACCTGTCATACTGTGATATCATGGGGTAGATGGTGGTCCTCTTCATGATGTTGTGCATCAGCACGATCGATCTATACTTGGGCCACATCATGTCCGTAGCGAGGACACCTTGGGTCGTTCGTACGTTTATGATTTTTTTTAAATTTATGTATGACGTACTTGAATCCCTTTTATATTCTTGTACATTAATGTGTGTCAGATGGCTTTTTGTTGATGTCACGTGCACGTCATCTGTTGCTGGATTAGGGTACTACCGAGATGCTTTAGATCACATGTGTGATGATCAAGTATGTCTTGTATATCATTAAGTGTAAGTACTTTGTTTTACGGTTTTATAAACTATGATGTCACATTATTTTGTATTATAGATGATGTGGATGTCGTACACTCATGAGATTTTAGGACAGTCGCCTCATGTTGGCCGAGAGCACACTGAGATTTGGCGAGCACGTGTGCCCTTGATATGTTTTCATGTAGTGGAGCATCACTTTCCTGATCGCGTACTACAACAGTTCGGATTGCAGCAGGTTATTTCCGGACCTTGTGATACATATGTGGACTTACACAAGATTGATAGACGAGAGAAGCACACTGAAGATTGGGGGATGCATCATATTCAGTATATCACTATGTGGGATGAGAGAGCGGCGTATATAGTGCACGGGACCCCATCATTAGTCCCCACAGCCTCTGCAGATTACATGAGATGGTTTTACACCATCACATGTTCATCTCTCCCAGTTTTCATCTACCCACCGATCATTATCAGTCCAACTCAGTCGCTCTTCATGTGATGGTAAACGATATAGTCACTAAAATAACTTTATTTACTTATTCATGTGTGGTTTTCACTAATAACCATGTTTGTATTGCAGGCACGAGCTTTGCATAGCATCCATGATAGAGCGACTGTTGTACTTGATGAGGCGGTAGATGTACAGGGATATCATGAGGCATGTTTGGGCATTGTTGCATTGTGTGCTGATGTATTGGGCTGAGTAGATTATGGATATATGGCCCCCACCCAGTATTCCACGACATATACACCCACAGCAGGGTCTTCTCAAGCAGTATGACACGATAGACACTACTATATTTTTTGCTATTTGCTGCTACCTATTTGCTGCGGTCTTTAACAAAACCGCAACAAATAGTATATTTCTTTGGGTAGTTTGCTGCGGTCAGAGAAACCAGCATCAAATAGTATATAAATTTAGGGTTATTTGTTGTGGTCAATACTGAACCGCAACAAAGAGTATATATTATTATGGTTTGTTGTTGCGAACAGAATGAACCGCAGCAAAAAGATAAATGATTCTCGAGTACTTGTTGCGGCCGCGATGAACCGCATCAATTAAGTCATAGGCGGAAGAAGAAATTCGGAAAGTTTGAGTTTAATCGATGCGGTAAGTTAACCGCAACAAATAAATTCGAAAATTACCAGTTAGAAAGAACGTGCAGCTCGCCCAAATCCTTATGACTTATCTCCTCCCAGCAGTTTCCAACTAGTTCCAGCCCACGATTTTGACCGCCGCAGCCTCGACCTTGCAACCCTACCGGCTCATGCCTCCGGCTAGCACCGCTTCGGCCTTGGAATTCTGCCGTCTCACACCTCTGGCTCACACTGCCTCGGCCTTGCTATCCAGCCGCCTCGCCCCTCCACTAGCAACGCCATCTCATGCCTCCGCCCGTATAAATATATCTGAATATTTACTTATCAACTCCTGGTTGTATTATTAATTGATTTTGTTGGTGTTATTCCAATTTTGAATTTGAATTACGTTAGTGTTTATTTGTATGCATTTCTTGCAACTGAATTTGTATACTAGTTATGTTGCTGATTGTAATCATTCTGTAAAGGTTGCCTTTTTTAGAACTTGTTCCATTTAAGGGACTTTTCCCTTTGAATTGGAAATGGAGTCAATCTATAGCACTATAGCAGCTCAACTCTTACACTTATTGAATCATTGTCCAGGTACATGAATAATCAAGGCTCCTAATGTTGCTTTCGGTTAGCTCTTCAAATTTTCAGATTTCCTACCTCACTCTTTTCTTCATTTTCTTCCCTCACATTCCATTATATTATACGGTATATATATATTTGATTCTTTTGCATTCATATTGCAGTTCTTTTGGATGTAGACTGGAGAGATACAATCCACCAAATGCAAACAATCTTTATTCTCAATAAACAGTTCAATTAACTATATTTCCCTTTTTTTTTAATTGATATTACTTCATTTTATTGATGAAATAGTGGAAGTAACTTTTTAGATGAAACGGCTGAAATGAAAGAAAATGGTACTTCTAGCATATTAAAATATTAATAAATTTATGATGAAGTCTAGACCATTGTCCATGGAATATTCACCCAGTATCTTTCTACACTCATGAGATCTTGGTGTTGAAAAACTGGAAAGCCAATTCTAATTGGAAAAAATGGCAATAATAAGCAGCCCACTCAAACTGATGGAAAGCCATCAACTATGGAAAAAGCAGCCCACTCAAACTGATACTACGTTGCAGGAGAAATAATATGTTCATATTTCTGTGGCACCATATATAAGTATCTAATCTAATAGCAGCTCTCTTTTACTCTTTAATTTGGTTGTGTTAGGTTGGAATTGCAATTATCTCAAGTGTTTTTGTTTTTCAGATCTTTCCCTCATTGTGGTGCTAATAATAGTTTAAACCTTCTTGTTCTCTTTTCTCTGAGAAAGCTATGTGATTTTCCAAAAGCTTTGTCCATATTCTGTACATATGAGAGGACATTTTGCTATTTTCAAGCAGCTCCACCTACAAATATTACTATGAATAATTTTTGCTAGTTGCGTATGGAGATGACAAAAAACAAGAGTTAAGATGCAAAAGTTGAGGCTATGGTCTAATGAAATTGTAGTCTAGTTGACTTTTACAGATAGAACCGGTTACCAAGAAGTGGGAGCATTTAGAGAAGATTATCTTTTAAAAAGGATATTTCGAAGTAGTTAAGAGTTGGGATTATTTCAAGCAAATATGTGATAGTTGGGATTATTTTTTATCAATTTCTCCTTTCTTATTTTCAATTATCATAAGCAGATGTAGTCTAACTTGCTATTTTTTATTCCTTTTTTCATTCTAAATCTAGCAGTTAGTACATGGAAGCTATCTTTTCTCACAAACTCAGGAAAATAACAATTGGTGCATGGAAGCTGCTTTTTTCATTCTTGAGTTTTGGAAACACAGTTGCAACAAGGAATATATGATTTGAGTATTATTGGGGGTTTATAAACAGTTTGAATAAAGTGGAGATGCATGAATGAGTGTTGGCCAGCTGTGTGTAGAAGTAATGTTACTTGATCAATTAGGCCGTGATCGACACACATGGATCACGAGTCTGCACAAGTTTATAAAGATTAGTAGGTAGTACTACATAATACTACTGTTTAGTTTCAAAAAGAAAAATAATTTGTGATGTATTCATTATGAATTTTGGGGTTGTATAACTTAATTCTTCTTGTAATTATGATTTTGTATTTGTGCCAATTAAATATTGGATAGTAGAAAGGTATTGTTTCTTATTTTTTGAATAAGATATACGTAGTATTTTGATATAAAAAAAACAACTGTATATTTGGGTAGCATTGTAAAACAAAATAATGTGTAAATGGTAGAGTTTTTGGTGCGGTCATTCATCTATTAAGCAATAAGTTATAATTAGCTTTTTTTAAATAGCTATTTGAAGCGCTGTCAATTACTGTGATTCATAACCGCAGTAAATAGATAAAAACGACCGCAGCAAATAGCTATTATTCTAGTAATGAGAGTTATTCTTCAACCTCGTAACCAGCGCAGACGCCCCCGACCACGGGCACAACCACGTGACCTTCATGATGATGATCACGTCGACTTATGATATTTGTATTTACATTATTGTGTGAAACATGCACTTGTGTGAAACATGCACTAGCTGATAGGATTATTTTCTGAAACACCGGATTTATCATCACTGTTATGTGTTATTTGAAGTATTGTGATGCAATGTAGTTTCATTAATTCATTTTGTGTTTCGGATATATTTTGTTTTTTTAGATCAGATGTTTGTTTGTTTTTTTTGAGTTGAATGGATAGTATTGAGCAGATTTTTTGTTGTTTAACACAGCTGCCACTTCAAGTGACGACTTTTGTACTGCATATAAGAGCCACCACTTCAAGTGGTGGCTTTCCTTAACCGTAGTTAACCCCAACAGTATTTTGGGAATTATTTTTAACCGGACAGTATTTTGGAAATTATTTATTTAATTAGCATTATTCCGGGAAAAAACTCTACCTAGTAAGGAAGAAAAATATAGATTCATCATTTTTTCGTTGGTCATTTTACTCTTTTAGTTCTCTTTTAATCAGTAATCAATTGATTTGAGTATAAGTATTTAGATTGAGATTTTTTTTTAATATTTTATAGAAATGCGGTGCCCCGATTTTACATTTTGAACCGGGGCCTTCAAATTCATTAGACGGCCCTGCTTATCTTCCCCAAAACTGCACTTCACCGGTTTACCATATCTCCCCTCCGCCGAGCTCTTCAGTCAAGTTCTTCACTGCTTGTGCTACTCCATCCTAATGAATTGAAATGATACAAAGAGGCACTTATCTTCTTTCTTTGTAATGGTGAAACACGGGGGTGGGGGGGGCTTCTGCATCATTGTGATGGTGTAATGGATTAGAGACAGGAGAGTAGTACCTCCTCAGTAGACAGAGTGATTGCAAGCTGCAATGCACGTTCTTTAACTTGAGAAGAGAGAGCAAAGTTTATGGCCTTCGCAAGCATTTTGGCTCCTTCTTTGATGCTGCTGCCGCAGCTATCATTTGTGTCCGGTACCAAGTGCTCTCTTTTCAGCGGCTCTGCACCAACCCCAAGCCAAAACATCCTATCTGCCCAATAGAACTGATCCAGCATAAATGGACATATCACCTACCAAGATAAATGAATACGTAAATAACCTGATATTCCAGATAAATTAAAAGCAACCAACTTAAAACTTAAAAGTCCATTTGGTAGTGTTATCTGTATGGATTCTGTTAGGTTATCCTATTCGTCAACCATATCAGCCAGTTCTTTTACCAAACTCTAACATATTTTACTGCGTAGTGGGAAAAAAACAGTGCTGGAGTTACTTTTTGCTGAAATTAAAGAAAAAGACATTTCTTCCTTCATTTTTAGATAGTGTTTTCTTCAAGAAATGTATTTTTGAATGTATAATTTTGAATAATTAAGCTATTGTAGGCACAATTTCAGCAAATTCAGCCGACTTAACAGCTTCATCATTTTAGGCCTTACCAAATAGGCTCTAACAAGCGAATTAGTTATTTGGCTGAAGTGAATTTTATCAACGCTTTATATTTCAGCAAATCCAGTCATTCAGCCAAGCAACTTTCAGTAATAGGACTCTAAATAATGAACTATACACTAAACTATAATTTGAAAGTCATGAGTGTCTACATTTATAAGAAGTAGAATGATGCAAGGGCAGAGTTAGTGTATGGAGTTTCCTTATATCAGAAACTGAGCAGAACATTGGGCCGAGATTATTCAGAGCTCATAAAGATATAAGATTTCCTATAAAACATACATTAGTTAATGACACATTATTATGGCATTTCTTCTTGTTATGCTCATTGTTGTAAAGAATCTCTGCCTAGCCCTGACTAATTACTGCTGAAGTGATTTTTGTAACGGGTATTAGCCCTTAAACGACTAAAATAAGCCCAAAATTCAACAATACGAGTACAATCTCTTTAGTCTTTATTCCCAAAATAGGACTAATATATGTCCCTTCTTCCCATTGTACCCTCTTCCTACAATTTCCAATAGATTTATTTTATTAATAAGAAAATCATATTTTTATTTATTATAAAAATATAAAAAATAATAAAATATTTATAAATTAATAATAAAAACGTGAAAAAATAAAAATTAAAATTAAAAAATAAATAAATAAAATATTTAACATTTTAAAAAGGCCTAAAAAATAAAATAAAATAAAATACCTAAAAAATATTTAAAAAATATGTAGGTAACTACCAACGCGTCCTCTACCTCCTAGCACCACCAGCTCCAGTCGCCTGTGTAAAAAAATGCCACATTTCTTTGAAAATGACATGAAGATGGCATTTTTACTCTTTGAAAATATCCCGCTTTTAAAATTGACATCATTATGACATTTTTCCCCAACTTGGCAATCTTTTCCGGCGACCGGAGGTGGCGGTGCTGGAAGGTGACTGAGGTGGTGGTTGAGGTCTGTATATTTTTTAATTATTTTTTACGATTTTTTTATTTTGATTTTTTTATATTTTATAATGATTGTTTAAAAACCTATTAAGAAGAAAAAAGGAAATGATAGAATAGGAAGAGTTAGTCCTATTTTGGGAATTTAAACTTTAAAGTCCTATTGTTACAATTATCCTTTTATTTAGTCCTATTTAGGTAAAACTCCCTTTTTGTAATAATATTGATTGAACCTTTTTTGGTTGAGGGATTTTGAAGGGAATGGGAGGGGAGAAGTGATATTTATTTCATTAATTTTCTCTTACATTAGATGGTTGGATAAGAAGTGAAGATGAAAAATTGTATAGAAATATACTCCCTCCGTCCCGCTAGAAGGTTCCCGTGAACGGTTTACGATGCTTGACTGACGATAAAGCAACTTAATCCATGCTCACACTCTGATTATTTTTAGTAAATAAAACTAACATATTCAGAAACTACATTAAAACTGCTACAAAGCCTGATAAAAAAATGTAAATTTGATAAAAATTTGATTTATAAAGTAAAGGATTAAAAATGATTTAAGTTGACCATGAGAATAGTGGACGGGAACCTTCTAATGGGACGGAGGTAGTACTACGCAATATTATTTAAGTAAAGATATGGTTATTTTATTGTTTAAGTAAATATATAGTTACTTGCTAATCTAACACCAACAAATTGAATAAATTAGTTAAAGAAAGAGAATCCTCCCCTCTACTCAAAAAACATCCATGCTATGGTCAGAGATTTAAGCAAAAGAATGGTAAACTACAATAATAAGATCATGTAGATCAGCAAAACAAACCTGAGGAATTCCAGCTTGCAGTGCAGCAGCAGTGGACCCACTGGGTGATAGTTGAGGCCAAAATTGCATCGGGATGAAAATATGTAAGAAAGTTTTCCACTTTTGGTCCTACTACTAATAAAAGTTTTCCAGTTTTCCACTCTATTCTCACTTTTGGTCCATGACTTCATTTTTCTCCACTTTTGGTGCACAACTACGAATTTAACACTTAATTTTCCTGATACGTGACAGCAAAGGAGTAAAAGTTGCAAAAAATTCATAGTCATGCACCAAAAGTGGAATAACCCGATTGTCATGGAGCTTAAAGTGGAAACTTTCTAATCGAGTATTTGAAACTAATACTCTACATCATATATGCAGGAAATAGAAGAAGAAAGGGAGGGTAAAGAACTACAACTCTCACCTTCCCCCGTGATGGATTGCAGCAGCACATCTTGGAAACAACCAGTTGTATGATATAGAACTACTACATACAGAAAACATATCACTCTCCAGTCTCAAGCAGGAGGCAGCAATTTTTTTACAGCAGCGTGGAAATAACTTACCCTGGTAAAGAAAGAAACCGGCCACTGAAAAGAAAAACTCCATCATCATTGTTGCATGGTGTTTGTTCTGAACATGAAGATGATTCTTGAGCACACAGTTGGATTACGTCGTTTAAAGGCTCATATCCAGCTGACAGCAGAATAAACCTGTAACTTGTGATGTCCAAAACATGTCCAAGTACCCGAAGAAATGCCCAAGGGTTCGTCATAAAACCCATGCTGTGAGAAGGAAGCACAACCCTCTATGACTAAGATGTCTTATGATAAAATAATAATAATATAGTCAACAACACAATTCAGATTATAGGATGAAATTCAGACTGGAGTGTTGGGGGCTCAAAGAGGAGCCGTGGTATACCAAAAATGGCATGGATTCAAGTTGTAAAAATATATAGAGCAAATTTCTCTAAATAGAAGTAATGAGGTTTGGAATTCCAAAATAGGACTACTATGTTTTTCTTCCCGAAATAGGAGTTGTTAGTGCCATGTATGAAAAATACTGCCATGATTGAAAAATACTACCATTAATTATAATAAATACTGACATATTAAATGCACTGTACTGCAATCATTTGGCAATCACGCCTACACGATGGCAGTAAATACTGTCATGTTAGTCCTATTTCGGGAATAAAAACGTAGTAGTCCTCTTTTGGAATTCCAAACTTCATTTACTCCTATTTTGGGAAATTTCCCAAATATATATCTGAGAATTGAGCATTAGGGCTTATTGAGAATGCTGGTGAAGGAAAATATAAGGAAACAAGTTTTTTATTCAGTTTTAACTTTTAACTATGAAGGAAAATCAAATTCCATCAAATAAGAAACTCTTTCACACTCAAATTCCATATATACATATATATGAGTGAACCCTAATTAGGGATTTAAATACCCATCCACTAATTCCAAACTGGGAAACAAATAGGAAACAAAATAATAGAAATCCTAATTAACTCCAAATAGGAAACAAATCCAGAAAATTATAAAAGAATAAAAATAATTAAAAGGCCCGCAGCCAGCCCACGAAGGTGGCCTCAAGCCTGTCCCCGCCTTCGGTAAACCCACGGGGGCTTCGGCCTCTCTTCCTCCAAGCTGAGCTCCTACTCTCTATCAGAAAGATAAAAAAGATTCAAGAATAAAATCAACAACGTATTGAAGAACATACATAATAAGCTAAAAGATGGACCAACTTTCCCAATGGGAAACACTTAGGGTATGTTTAGATCTAGGAAAATGTTGAGGAGATGAGGAAATTGCCAAGACAAATTCTTTATTATGTTTAGTTTTAAGTTGAAAAATATGAAGGCAAATAAATAGATAGATAGATAGATAGATTAGGTGGGTGGGTGGGTAGGTAGGTAGGTAGATAAATAAATAAATAAATAAATAAATAAATAAATAAATAAAATAAATAGATAGATAAAAATGTGATAGAAGATATATTTAAAGGAGAAAAGGGTCAAATAAGCCCATGTACTATCTCTAAACCATCACTTAGGTCCATCTACTCAAATAAGTGTCATATTTATCTATCTACTTGTTGAAAACAATCTTTTAAAACCAAATGACCTGCAAGTAACATGTTGAATCAAATAAATCAAGGCCAGATCAACTCATTTTATACATGTGGCTTTTATCCAGGGGCGGATACACACTCAAGGTTATGGGGGCACATGCCCCCAACAAAGTTTAAATTTTTAGCTTTATAAATTATATTTTATTAACTAATTAGGGGTGTGCCCCCAATAAGAAAAACAAAATGCCCCCAACAAGAAAGAAGGATGCTCTAATGGCCCAATTAAATACGGAGTACATTGACAAAGAACACAAATTACCACGGAGTAATTAAGACTCTTAATTAAGAGTGAACAGTTTGTTTTTTATTTTATATAATTAATATTTCAGAAATAACTTTATAATTTTTATAGTTACATACTCTACTGGTTTATGAATTAGAATGCCTAAAGCCCCCATATTGTTTTTGCGATTAAATCCATATGATAGGACACTCGAAAAGTATACGTGTTTCTAAAAAAGTATGTGTTATTGTGTTAGTTGTTACTATATAAAGTTAGTTAATTAATTCATGAAAAACGTTAGCTAATTGATCATTTACTTTTCCCTCAACTCTTAATATAATTTTTCTGGTTTTGAATTGATTTTATTTTAACAATATTATTGTTTTAATGCAAAAAATACAATCACAAAACTAATAAAGAGATTCCAAAATAAGAAATATATAGTATAATATTATATACTTATTGGACGAACCTGGACATATGTCTCTATTTTTCTCAATTTTTGGTTGTTCATATGAATACACTTGCATTAGAGATTTAAAGTCCGTTTGGTAATGCTGAGATTGGCCTAATCATCTGTTTATACGAAAATTTATGACGTTCTGTTGAAGTGTTGTATTAGCTGATTCTGCTGATTTATTTAAAAAAATTAAATTATGTTTTAATAATATAAAAAGTTATATGAAAAATAACTGAAATGGTATTCTATAGTAACTTCAATCAATTCATCTAGAAAAGTAACTTCAACCTTACTTATTTTGATTATTACATAATTCAACTTGCGAAATCAAATGTTACATGTTTGGTGAATAAAATGGCAGATAAGGTTGATAAGCTGGGGAAAAAATATGGTCTTCAAACGGGCTTTTGGATAAACTCTACCTCTTACTTTATGTCATATTGGAGTGCCCCCAATAACAAACTTTCTGTATCCGCCACTGCTTTTATCACAAAAATTTGATTTCCTTTTTTCTTTTCTTTTTGATTTTTCCTTTTGTTTTTGCTCCATCTTCCCTTCTCCCTATCCCTAACCTAGTACGTAGTATATCAAATGTATCATATACGTATATCACATACTCTATTACTTCGTCTTTCTACACTGCAAAACAAAAGAAAATATATCTAATGTGTATATATACGTATATCACATACTCCATTATCTTCTCTAAAATGAAATACAAGAAACAAAGAAAATTAAAGAATTAAGTAACAAAAGAAGCAACAGAGATAGAGAGTAAAGTAAGCAACTGGGTGAAGCTTTTGAAGTGGTCTCCGTCCGACACCGGTTTTGGTTATATAGGCTATCCGATTTGAAGTGGGAGAGTCAATTTTGCTGAAATTAATTGTCCCAAATAGCCCATCAATCGCTGGCAAACCACCTTGTTAAAGCAATCGAGAGGACACAGTGAAGCCAAATGATTGAGGACATAGATTCCAGCCAATATATGTCCATTTTCATTTTCATTTTCATTTACCCCAGTGCCGCAAAGGCTCCCACCTACGGTGGGGTAAGGGGGATCGGATGTACGCAGTCTTATCCCTGTACTAAAGCACAGAGACTGTTTCGGATGACCCATAGTGAAAATTGCGTCCAAAATTGCATTGACTTGACTGCTGCTCCATAACAAAGAAGCGCATACAGTTTAGTGAGCCATTTTGCTTTATTCCATCATAATCTCAAGCCAAAAAATGAATCTTTGGTTCCATTGCAAATGATGGAAAACCGGCCAATATATGTCCGTAGTATAAAATTAAGCAAAATTCTTACCTTCAATGTAGTTGGAAACTTAAAGCTAAGGTAAAGAAAGAAGAGAAATTGAAGATGGAGGCATACAGATTCACCAAGAAACGGACCAAGGAAGAAGACAATGAAGTTGGAGGCATTTCCGTGATTCCGTCGACCAAGGTATGGACCAAGAAAGAACAAAATTAAAAGAAAATAAAACATAATCAACAAAGGAAATGAAAACTAGAAAAATTGCCACATAAGCAATTAACCTGCTAAATCAGGTCATCTTCAGGTCAATTGATTTAATTGACTGCTTTTTACAAGTAGATAGATGAATGTGACACTTATTTAAGTAGATGGATCTAAGTGATGGTTTAGAGATAGTATATGGACTTATTTGATCCTTTTCTCTATTTAAAATAGATTTACAGGGTTTGGATCTAGCCTAAATTTTCACAAATGATTTTATGCCTCTTGATTTTTATCTCCTTCCGTAGCTTTTTTTGAGTCCCAGAGAGACCTTTAGAGATGATTTTACTAGTACCAACATGACTAAAATAAAATGGTTCACAACGCCCTTGAAAGTCAAAAGTAGATACCTTCCGATAGAACTGAGACTTATGAAAATAGGTGGCGGGTGTTGTCCAGAAGTACTCAAGAAGTATTGCAACCTGGTGTGAGCAAGACACAACCCATTTTTTGCTTTTAACTCTGTAGAAGCCAATGCAGATCCTTCCAAACATTTGTTACATGAGAATAGGCGATCAATGGGAAGAAACCAAAAACCACAAACCCGGACTCTTGATGGCCAGTAAGCTGCTATGTAAAAACAACAGAAGTACACAACTCTAAAAGCTCAATTTTTGAATCAGCCATTGCTTGGTTGGAGGACTTTTGATGAAAGGGGAGGGATTCAAGAAGGGGGTGAGGAAAGTGGAGGATCTATGAACTCCTCCAACTCACTTGAGCTTACTCCTCCAAATTGGGGTATATTGGAGGAATTATCTTTTTGTGAATTTCATTTATTCTTTTTAAATTTTCATCAAAATTTGTTCTACAGATTTTTGTTATGCAAATTGATTACTATAAAACTTATTAAGATAAAAGTTGTACCAAATGTATTTCACTTTTATTTACATATATTTTTGAAAATAATAATTCAACCATACTCTTTTATTGAATCAAACCTAACATCTTATTGAACTCTTCCATTTACATTTTACCCCCAGATTTCAACCAAAGAAGAGGTAAGGGAAACTAGACAAGAAAATACAGAGCAAAAATAAAAATTAAAATTAAAATAAGACAGCTCCCGTGAGAAATTTCATAGCAACCGTACCAGGACATTCCACAATTTCTTTGCTAAATCCATACCTATCACCAAATCAAAGTAAATGATAACACAATAAATGTATGTTATTCATTTTTAGTAGAAAATGAGATTATAAAAAAGAGTAAAAACATGAAGCAAGGGACAAGCTTTTAGTTTTGGACTTTGGTGTACAACTACTGTAAATTCTATTTTATTTATTTATTCCGTGTGGCGGATTGATCTCTTACATCTTTTTTTCCCTTTATCTTCTTTTTCTTTCTTATATTTTTATCCTTTTATCTTTATATATATATATATAGAGAGAGAGAGAGAGTAGTGTTCCGGTCAGAAATTCCTGACCGGAACCGCCGTCCGGACGACGGCTTTTGGGGACCTTCCCGGTGGATTTTTTTGATGAAATTTTTATGGCATGTTCTTCATCAAGTCTAGTTTATCCACAAAAAAATCAGCTAAAAACTCAATCAGGAAGGTCATCAAATGATTTTTACAAGATAATTGCGCCGGAAAATACATATAAAACGCAGTTAACTTGTAAAAATCATTTGACGACCTTCCCGATTGAGTTTTTAGCTGAATTTTTTTGTGGATAAACTAGACTTGATGAAGCACATTCCATAAAAATTTCATCAAAATTATCTACCGGGAAGGCGGCCAAACGCCGCCGTCCGGACGGAGGTTCCTGTCCGGAATTCCGGACATGAACTTTCCTCTCTCTCTCTCTCTCTCTCTCTCTCTCTCTCTCTCTCTCTCTCTCTCTCTCTCTCTCTCTCTCTCTCTCTCTCTCTCTCTCTATATATATATATATATATATATATATATATATATATATATTCCGTCATTTGCAATGGAGCCAAAGACTCACTATTTTTTAGCTTGGGAATATGATGGAATAAAGCAAAATGACTCACTAAATTGTCTGCGCGTCTTTGTTATGAAGCAGCGGTCAATCCATGCAATTTTTGACGCGATTTTCACTATGAGTCATCCGGAAATCGTCTCCCTGTGCTTTAGTACAGGGTAAGATTGCGTACATCAAACCCCCCCTACCCCACCGTAGGTGGGAGCCTTTGCGGGATTGGGGTAATGATGATGATCTTTATATGTGTGTGTGTGTATATATATATATATATATATAGAGAGAGAGAGAGAGAGAGTCATTCTCCTGTCCAGCAATTTTCTGTCCGAACGCCATCCGAACACCGCCGTTTGGGGCGGTTCCCGGCGGATTTTTTTGATGAAATTTTTGGAGCATGTTTCTCAACAAGTCTAGTTTATCCATACCAAATTTCAGCTCAAAATTCGATCAGGAAGGCAGTCAAATAATTCGTTGAAGTTAACTGTGCCAAATTATACATAGAAAAACGCAGTTAACTTCAACGAATTATTTGACTGCCTTCCCGATTGAATTTTGTGCTGAAATTTGGTATGGATAAACTAGACTTGATGAGGAACATGCTCAAAAATTTTCATCAAAAAATTCCACCGGGAACCGCCCCAAACGGCGGTGTTCGGACGGCATTCGGACCGGGAGGTGCTGGACCTGAGAATTTTCCTATATATTCATTTTATCACTTTTATCTTAACACTTTTATGCATATCTTATCTCTGTTTTATATTATCTTTTTTATCATACCTTAGCCTTTGTTTCTTTCTTATCTTTTTTTCCCTTTTGGCTCCGATATCAAGTATCGATTCATGTTAGCCGACCCCAAAGTCTTTTAGGACTAAGGCTTGGATGTTGTTTTTGTTTTTATACTTTACATTTCCATGAGAATTTAGGAGAAAAATATGTTTTGAAACTGGACTCCTTCAAGGCAGTATGAATTAAATTCCTGTGACCCCAAATGTAGCATTATTTTCAGGGTAGTTAACTTACAATAGCATGGGAGAAGGTGGTCGGTAATTCCATGTTGGAAGACCTGTTACTGGATCCTGAGTCCGCATAATATAAAAACAGATTTGAATCTTAACAAGCAGCTAAAGCATTTTTAAGGGGTGATTTGTATACACATCAAAGTGAAACCCCCATTTCATGTATCAGGAAAGAGAAACACTTATTGGTCTGACCGTAAAAGGACAGGAACTCAGCTTTAGGTCATGGCTTCTCCATGATCCCCACTCCTCAGTAAAAAGTGGCCACATCCAGTGATTAACATCTTTCCAACCAACCTACAATAATCAAATATACAAAATTATGTAAATGAAGTGTACCCATCATTCAAATTTTTACCAGAATGAGAACAATAAACCTTCCTTTCTGGTATATACTAATTAGAAAATACACACACACATTTTATACTGTACCTTGCCAGCAGGTGCTTCCTGGAGATACTTATACAAAAGCGGGAGCTCTCTCCTAAATTGCCTTTCAAATGAAGCAGGGGCACTGTGTTCATATGCAAGAGTCAGAAGTAAGAAAACCATAATATTGTAAATAGTACTTTACTTTCCATTGAGTGAACAAATTGATTGTTTAATCAAGCCTAAATCTCCCTAAAAGGATTTTAGGATGTGAGGTTCACCTATAAGTATATCACCTCACAGTGATATACTAGAATATACCTCACAGTGATATACTAGATCCAATAAAATCCAATAGACAACAATGTGGGATACTCAACAATATCTGCTCAGTCCAAGCTGAGGTGGACAACTGAAGGGTGGACAAATGTGCCCAGGCTGACATCAAACAGAATTCCCGACAAGCGAGCAAGGTTTATCCCGAAATGATCCTCGTGAAGTTTATATATCCCACGCATGTACAATAGACTCAAATCTATTACACAACTACAGGATACTCAACATTAGCTGACTGAAACACAACAAGACTTTTGAAAACACATGTGGTTGATAGGCATCCAGCTCAGCCATCCACTCAGTATTTTAATAATGTATATCACAGGAGGAACCGGAGGGTAGTTAGTTGAATTAGCTAACTAAATAATAAATAGCACTTCATCCCTGCGTGGATATTATTACTATAAATAGAATAATAGAGGCTGGGAGGTAGGCAGGCTGTCATTTTCTGTTGAGACTAGACTTTTGGAGATTGGGCATCTCGAATTGTCCCTGAGCATTGCATCCCTGTGAGCTGTTCAGTTGGAGAATAAACCATTTCGATCTGTTCTTCTCTTTTTGCTACTGAATTCTATCACTGGTATCAGAGCATCGTTTCTGGTGACCGAGTCAGTTGTCGCAACACCAGATTTCCTCGTCGCAGTTGTGGATGGTTAGGACGAGAGCCAAAATGGAGAATCGCGTGGATTCATTGGAGCGAAACTACCTGGAGATGAAATCGACGATAGATAACATCACTGCAACCTTGGTTGCGATGAATGAGCAATTTCAGTCCAGAGGGAGATCGCGATCACCTCATCAGCTTCGCACACGAACATCGCACAGTCCGGTAGCATCCAGAGGTAAGTCCGTACACTCTCACATCCATAATCAACCGCGAAGTAATGAGAGTACCAGAATTCCTATTCATACTGGTAGAAAAATAGATCTACCTCTGTTGTTTAATGGAGATGGAGCGTATAATTGGATAGTGAGGATGGAGAGGTACTTTAGGTTGAATCAAATTGATGGGGATGAAAAGGTAGAAGCCTCCGTGGTAGCCATGGAAGATAGGGCCCTCAATTGGTTTCAGTGGTGGGAAAACCAAACTGAGGAGAAGAACTGGGAGGCTTTGAAGGAATCTATTATACGCAGGTTTCAACCTGAGCTGATCCAAAATCCTTATGGACCATGGTTCTAAAAATCGGCCTAGGCGCCCGCCTAGGCGCTAGGCGGTGGCCAGGCACCCCGAATTTGTTCTAATCGGTGGAAAAAATCGTTTCGGGGCCTAGGCGGGTGCCTAGGCGGCCTAGGCGGGTGCCTAAGCGGGCTAGGCGGCCTGGACTAAATATTTTTCCGAACCAACTTTTTTTTCCGTTATATCTTAAAACATCGTGTGATCAAGAAGTATTTTATTCCTATATAATTTATTTTCATATTCCCACAATAAAAAATAAATTTTAAATATTAATAAAATTTTAAGAAGGTATTTTAAGATTTTTAGAGAGTAAAAAACACAAATATCTTAATTTATTTATTAATTATTTTATTATTGATGATTCTACTCAGGAAGAATTCCAGGATAGGAGCAGAAAAGGCCTTTGTTTTTTAAGTGTGGAGAAAAGTGGAACAAGGAACACACGTGTAAGTTGAAAAACTACAAGTTGATATTGGTAGAAGATTCAGACAATGAGGAAGAAGGGGAAGGAACTGAGTATGAAATCCCAGTAGAAGAAGAACCTGTCATGGAATCTAAGGAAGGCATACCTCCTATGAGAGCTTTTAAGGTTCAAGGATGTTTAAGGTGGGGCAATGGTGAGAAAAAAGTGGAAGTTCTTATTGACAGTGGGGCTACCCATAACTTTATATCACAGAGTCTGGTAAAGCAATTGAATCTGCCTTATACTAGCATCTCAGGATACAAAGTTCAAATTGGGAATGGAGAGAAGGTTTCCAACAATGGGAGATGTGAGAACTTGACTTTGTATATGCAGGGAACAGATATAAGGCAGATTTTTTACATGTTAAACCTGGGGGAACTGATTTAGCGTTGGGAATGGAATGGTTGACAAGCTTGGGAGATGTGGAGATCAATTTTCAGAAGCAAAGTATTAAATGGAAGGTACAAGGGGTTAATCAAAGCATTCAAGGAGATCCACAGCTAAATTCCTTAGAGATTTCATTGAAAATCATGTGACAAATAATACAAGACACTGGGGATGGATATCTGATTTACCAGGAAGGGAGTACAGAACAGTTGGGAGAAGAAAAGGTGATGGATCAGATTTGGAAGGATAATGTGGATGAATTTCCAGAAGTCTCCAAACCAATACAGGGATTACCTCCAAACAGAACTTGTAACCATGCAATCAACATTAAGGAAGGAGCTGAGATCCCCAACATAAGACCCTACAGATACCCACAATATCAGAAGACTGAGATTGAAAAGATCATTAAGGAAATGCTAAGTTCTGGGATTATACAGCACAGTAACAGCCCTTACAGCAATCCCATTTTATTAGCTAAGAAGAAAGATGGGTGATGGAGGTTTTGTGGAGATTACAGGGCCTTGAATAAGATAACCATACCAGACAAGTCTCCTATACCAATAATTGAGGAGCTATTGGATGAGCTAGGGGGAGCTACTATATTTTCCAAGCTAGACCTAAAGTCAGGTTACCATCAAATCCGGATGAAGGAAACTGATATTCAAAAGACAGCTTTTAGAACACATGAGGGGCATTATGAATATCTAGTTATGCCTTTTGGGCTCACTAATGCCCCCTCCACTTTTCAGGCTCTCATGAACCAAGTATTAAGGCCATTCTTAAGAAAATTTGCATTGGTATTTTTTTATGACATCCTGGTATACAGTAAGACTGAAGAAGAACATCAGGAACATTTGAGGAAGGTTCTAAGTGCATTAAAAGAGAATGAGTTAGTGGTCAATCTAAAAAAATGCTCCTTTGGACAGCCACAGTTGGTATATTTGGGGCACATCATCTCTAGAAAGGGAGTTTCAGCTGATCCTGCCAAAATTGAAGCTATGGTTAACTGGCCAGAACCTAGGGATTTGAAAGGACTGAGGGGTTTCTTGGGGTTAACAGGCTACTACAGAAGGTTTGTGAAGGGGTACAGTCAGATTGCATTACCCCTTGAACAACTTCTTAAAAAAGACAGTTTTTGTTGGGATTACAAGGCTACTCAGTCATTTGAAGAATTGAAGAGGGCTATGACTTCTGTACCTGTACTAGCTACACCTGACTTTAATAAAATGTTCATTCTAGAAACAGATGCATCTGGGACAGGTCTGGGGCAGTCCTAATGCAAGAGGGGAAACCAATTGCATACATGAGCAAGGAATTGTCAAAGAGGAATCAAAGTAGATCTGTTTATGAAAGAGAGCTCATGACTATTGTTTTGGCAGTACAGAAATGGAGACCTTATCTACTGGGTAGAGTTTTTGAGATCCATACTGACCAAAAAATTTAAAATTCTTGACTGAACAGAGATTGATGGGGGGGGAACAACAGATGTGCACTTCAAAATTGCTAGGATACAACTTCATCATCAAATATAAACCTGGGAAGGGAAATAGGGCTGCAGATGCCCTATCCAGAAAACTTACACTACAATCTTTATCCATTGTCACTTGCCAAGAGTGGGAAGGTTTAGAGAAGGAACTGAATTCAGATTGTAAGTGCCAAGACCTTATTCAGAAGGTAATATCACACCCAGATGCGTATCCTGATTTTCAGATTATAAAGGGGCTATTGTATTACAAAAGGAAGTTGGTTTTACCAAGGGAATCTCCTAGGGTATTGAAGATTATGAGGGACTATCATGACTCTGCAGTGGGAGGAGGTCACTCAGGATATTTTAGAACTATGAAAAGAATATCTAATTTGTTCTATTGGCATGGTATGAGGGCTGATATCAAGAAGTATGTGGAAGGATGTGCTATCTGTCAAACCAACAAATATCAGGCTCTAAAACCAGCAGGGTTGCTACAACCCCTACCTATTCGAAGCAACATATGGACAAACATCAGTATGGATTTCATAGGTGGGTTGCCTAAATCTCATGGGAAAGATACTATCTTGGTCATTGTTGACAGATTGACTAAATTTGCCCATTTTTTGGCCTTTTCTCACCCCTATCATGCAAAGGAGGTAGCTGATCTGTTTACAAAGGAGGTGGTTAAATTACATGGTTTTCCTAAAACTATTGTAAGTGATAGAGACAGTCTGTTCATGAGCTCTTTCTGGTCAGAACTGTTTAAATTGGCAGGAACTCAATTGAAGTACAGTACAGCTTATCACCCTCAAACTGATGAGCAGACTGAGGTGGTTAACAGATGCCTAGAAACATATTTAAGGTGCCTCACAGGCAGAAAACCTAAACAGTGGAGTCAATGGTTACATTGAGCTGAGTTTTGGTACAACACTAACTACCACTCATCTCTGAAACAGACTCCTTACTGATAGAGACCCATCGGTTGGGTTCTATCACTTACAGGGCTTTATTTGGGCAAGATCCTCCTGCAGTCATCAGAGGAATCAGGAATGTCATGTTGGAGGAATTGAAGAAGAATCTAGAGATTGGCAGATTGCTCAAAATCAGATGAAACAGCAAGCTAACAAACACAGAAGAGAGGTGAATATGAACATTGGAGATCAGGTTTACCTGAAAATATAGCCTTATAAACTTAAGAGTTTGGCCAAAAGAATAAACCAGAAGTTGAGTCCTAGGTTCTATGGGCCTTTTGAAATTATTAAAAAAATCAGCCCTGTAGCATTCAAGCTAAAGCTTCCAGAAGACAGTAAAGTACACCCTGTATTTCATGTCTCCCTACTCAAGAAAGTGCTATCCCCAAACACTTCCTATCAGCCCCTACCTAAGTGTTTGGGTGAAGACCTGGAAGGCTGGAACTGCAGGTGACACCTGAGAAGATGGTGGATTCCAGAGTGAATAAAGAGGGCAAAACTGAGGTACTAATACATTGGAAAGGTCTACCACGCTTTGAGGATTCTTGGGAATTGGTGCAAGTGATGAAAGAACAATTCCCAGAATTTCACCTTGAGGACAAGGTGAATTTTCAGGGGGGAGTATTGATAGGCATCCAGCTCAGCCATCCACTCAGTATTTTAATAATGTATATCACAGGAGGAATCGGAGGATAGTTAGTTGAATTAGCTAACTAAATAATAAATAGCACTTTATCCCTGCGTGGATATTATTACTATAAATAGAATAATAGAGGCTGGGAGGTAGGCAGGCTGTCATTTTGTGTTGAGACTAAATTTTTGGAGATTGGGCATCTCGAATTGTCCCTGAGCATTGTATCCCTGTGAGCTGTTCAGTTGGAGAATAAACCATTTCAATCTGTTCTTCTCTTTTTGCTACTGAATTCATACTGCTCTGATTTTAGAATTATCAATGTTCTAATATATGAACATATATTCATATATTCATGACAACATCTCCTGAATCAGAAGCACATTAGATAATTTTCAAGCAGGCGCTGAAAAACTTATGCAAGATCATATGACAATGTAAGGATCACCTGTAAGGAACAACATAAGGAGCAGCAACAACACAACGAACCTTGAAAAGCTCTGCAAGACTCCAACCTTCCTAAACATAACAGATGCATCAATAAGAGTGTGTTTAGATAGAGGAAGGGAGGTTAAAAAGGAAAGGAGTTATAAGTTTAGTCAAGGAGATGAAGGGACAAAATAATAAAAGGTTTAGGACACTCATATTTGGATTAGATAAATGCAGGGAAAGTAATAAGGAGTATAATTTATAAAACATTACAATTTTGACGAGAGTGTCTTCTCATGTTCTTCCATTTGACTTTGATGTTGTGACTCGGATTAAAGGGCATGACTGAGAAGATACTGGATGGGCGGTTTCGGCTGATTACGAAAGAGAAGACCTTGGAAGGCTTAGTTTATATCTTGATAAATAGAATGTATCTAAGTTCTAACAACGAACAAAGGCGTGTGAAATGCTATGTGGCAATCCGTAAGACTAAATTATTAATTTTTCAAATCTTATTATATTTTAAATATAGACTTAATCCTCCAAAATCCTCCATCCGAAGTGACCATAAGAGACTTTTTTCCCTTTGGAGAGACGATGGTGGAGTCTTATGAACTTAGTACTTGTCAAATAAAAAAGAAAACATGAAAGTTTCTTTAAACAAACACAACACAGTTGGTGAAGAAGTTACCAATGCAAAGAAATTGATGGCAATAAAATCTTTGTGCGTGCTAGACCCATCTCCAAATATACCCTCAATAATGGAAATGCACTCTTCTCTATGTTTTCTGGTAAGTTCCTTTTTATGTTTAGAGAAGGAATCCTCCATGGAACCTGATAAAAGAAAACCATTTCTCATTACAGCCAAAATTAAGCGATTGTTTTCAAATTGAAAAAGAAACATGAGTCGAAGACAGATTAAGGTCCCCTTTAGTGAAGGTTATTTGGCAGAAATGACTGAATTTGTTGAGTTCTCTAAAAAGAAAAGCTTTTAGTGACATCCACTTCAGCCAAATAAACCAGTCAGAAGATCATAATTCTGATTACCCTTCTTATTCGGTTGATAAAAAAAATAAGTAGAATAGGCTACCAAATGGAGTGTTCACAGATACCACTAGCAGGGTAGGTTATGATACCATGATGTTGTGAAGGAGAAAGAACAGGTGGTGTTGAAGCTGGAAAAAACATAACTCCCTTTGCTTCCAAATAAACTCTCAAGCTCTATCCTCCAGAATGAAAGACAAAAATATGACACATTATTTGTACGTAATCAAGGCTTAGATTTGAATCCAGACATAACCCGCCTTCGTGATAAGAATGTGTTTCTCAAATAGTGTTATCTATGTTTATGGTTCATGGCTGCAAAACTCCTTTTAGTAGACCAATAACCTACAGTATTACATAAGTCTTCTTAAGGAATAAACATAGTTGGTTCTGTTTTATTTAAATGATGATCAGCTTTAGTAAGCAATTCTCTCACGCACTTATAGGAAGGAACAAAAGGAAGATATGGTGTAGTCTTCAGACCTGGTGTGCTGAATGAGTTACAAAATAGACATGATATTGGTGTTGATCACGGGAGAAAGCTGCAGCTATGGCCTGTCCATTTGAACGCATAAATATGTAGTTCGATGGTTTACACTCAAACGTATAATAACGTATACACAAAGAGAGGGAGAGGGAGAGGGAGAGGGAGTTACTGCCAAAGGATTGACATCGCCTTTGGTTCCGAATGCCATGAACACTGCCGTTGGCCTTGTCCTCATCATATATATCCTGTGGCAATAAATATAAAATGCAAATTCGACGACACTCCAATAGCTTGCTTGGTTTCTCAGAGAAGGGGAGAATGATTGATGATGATCATCTCATAAAGAAAGGAAAGGGGTCTGCAATTTCAATCATCAACACATGTAAACGAGGGTTTCTCACCAATTGATTGATTGTTACAAGGGTTTAAAAGAAGCCAATGTTACTAAAAATTAACTCATAGGTCAAAAAAGTGACTTTTTTTATAGAAAATTCAAAATGTGACTAAAAAAGACTAAGATGACTATTATGTCCTTACTAAGCCCAACAGTCCCGATACAGTGACCAATGTCACAGTCACCAATTTCACGGTGACTATACTCCCTAGTGACCAATGCCACGACCCGTGACTATATTCTCCGATGACCAATATCACAGTCACAAAACGTTAAGTTATCACACCGTGGTCACGAACTCCACTGACATCCCGGTCTTAGCAACCACCCGACCTCGATGACCACCCGACCCCAATGACCAACCCATTAGTGACATCATTGCCCCACCAGTGACAACGGCTGCCTCGGCCATACTATTGACTGTCGTCGTCTCGACCGTGACTTTTTGCCCGGATCGTCAATTGTTCACATATTTGTCTTTTGAGCTCCTGTTACTCTTATTCCTGTCATTATTTCTTGTTATAAATAAATTGTTTGATTGTTGTAAATAAACGATTTCAATCATTAATTAAAGGGGAAAAGTATCACGTAAGCCCTCAAACTAGCACTAATAGCGTAAATCACACTCTCAATAATAATAGTAATAATAGTAATAATAGTAACAATAGTAATAACAATAGTAATAACAATACTAATAACAATACTAATAACAATAATAATAACAATAATAATAACAACAATAATAATAATAACAACAATAACAACAACAACAACAACAACAACAACAACAATAACAACAACAACAATAACAACAACAACAACAATAACAATAATAATAATAACAATAATAATAATAACAATAATAATAATAATAATAATAATGATGATGATGATGATGATGATGATGATGATGATGATGGATAGTCTACCCGGGGGGTATATATCCGAGGGGTTATTGCTGGGAATAACTTAGAGAGAAGTCAGAGCAAGTAAATGTAGAGAGAGAGAATGTATTATAAATGTGGAGCGTTTTCAGCGTGGTTACAAATGGGGAAATGGGGTGCTATTTATAGTATTAATAAATGTCGGACAGGGACACGTGTCAAGCGCCTATTGGCCGAGGGGTCACCTCAACTGGTTGGCGTTGGCAGCCGCATGTGGCCGCATTTAATGCGGCTGTTGGATGGGACGTCTGTACAGGGTACGGTGATCTGTACGCATGTGAGGCGGATATCATGTCGGGAGAGGTGCCCTCGGCTGCAGAGGACTAGCCGAGGGCTCTTAGTGCCGAGGACCCCTGAGTGTTGAGGGCTCCAGGTGCCGAGGGCTACTGTTTTCGCCGTTTTCTCCGAGTTCCTCTGTTTGTTCGAAATATCCATGCTGTGATAGTTTGGACCCTTCGGCCAGGGGGCCGAAGGCACCCCTGGTGCGTATTGCGGGCTGCTTGGTACTCTGGGCATCGTGATTTGGGCCTGTTGGGCCTTCTGGGCCTGTTGGGCCTCTACTGGAGTAGTAGGAGTCTGTGGGTCGAGTGTTCCCGGGCCATATACTCCATCAGGAGTCCCCCACTCCTTTTGCCGAAAGGTATTTGAGGGAAAAGGAGTAATTTGTGCTTGCCCTTTGATGTTGTCCTGTCGTGATCTCTGAAGTTGGTGAGGAGTTGTTGCTTTTATGTCCCTGCCGAAGGCAGTCCCTCAGTTACCCACATGTCGGGACTTGAGGGCTTGCTTTGTCGTTTGTTGGAATTTCACTAAATTTGTAATTTAATGATTTTCCCGAGGGGGTTCTTCAGTCCCCCACTCCTTGAGGCACTTGTAAAGTGGTGAAAAGGAGTAGAGTGGTTGCGTTGCTGTTGTGGGCCGAAGGCTGACGCTTTTCGTTTCATTTTGGGGGGATGCCTCGTTAAAAACCTCATTAGGAAAAACCCTGTGGGAAAAAATCCTAATGAGGGAAAAAGAGTGCACCGAATTCCCCCAACGATGAATTGAAAATGTGAAACCTTGGTCAAAAGTGGGGAATAACGGTAATGCCGAAGGATCTCTTTTCTGAGGGCTCATGTGTTGATTAGCCGAAGGCTTGCTGTTGATGTCCTGGGGGTGCCGAAGGGGAGCCCCTCAATCTGGGGATCGAGGGCATGATGGATGAGGGCAGTAATTGAATTGTCGTCGGGGGGTCCCCTGCTTGCTGGTTAGTTGGTGATGAGGATACCCGAGGGCTCCCATTACCTGTGTGCTGTAGGCTATCCGTCAATGAGGCAACTCCCCGGGGGCTACCCGGTTCTTACAGTGCTGAGGGGAATCCCCGAGGGGTGCCCTGATATGAAGCCCTGGGTTTCTGAAGGAGTGATCCTGAAGGCGTCTGTTATGTGCTGTGTGGGGCACAGCCCGGGGGCGTCTCTGGGTAAGTGTACCCGGAGGCTCTCCTTGAAGAAGTGGAGTGAAGTAGAAAACCCGGGGGCTTCCAGAATATAGCCGTTGGAAATATAGCCGTTGGAATATGTAACGTCAGGTTTATAGCCGTTGGGGGAGGAGTACACGTGGCGCGTGATGGCTGGCTGCCCGTGGGCGGCATCACTGGTTGGGCGAAGACGCGGTGTGTAATGATGGCGGTCCATCCGGAGGCCCGGAATCCAGGCCCAAGCCCGGATTCCAGCGCCTATAAATACCCCAAGGCCAGAGCCATTTCTTCTTGTGCGATCATCTGTCTTAGCGAAGCTCTGCCAAAAATTCTAGAGAGAGAAACTCAAGCCTTCGGTCAAAACTCGGCTTTCAAGGTCAGTGTCCTGCTCTCCTCTCAAAACTTTTAGTAAGTTCCGCCCTCTGGCCTTAGATTAGGGTTAGAGTCCTGTAGAAAGCCTTCGAAATCTTAGGCACATTTCGTGATAAAAAATGTCGTCCGAGAGCGATTCCCAGGACATCTCGAGGACGCCCTCGATGGAGGACAAAGGCATCTCCGACGTGGAGTCCAGTAGCAGTCAGCCCTCGGATGGTGGTGATGCAGCTCTCGCCACCGAGGTGCAGAAGGATCTGATGGCCGAGGCCGAGGCGGAGGAGTTCGAGCGGACCGCCGAAGATGAGGAGTTGGCCCTCGCCGTCCAAGTTGCTGAGGAGGAAGAGGAAAAGGAGAGGGCGAAGGTTACTGTGGCCGTCCTTCCCCCTCGGGGTGCTGGTGAGGCCAGTACCTCTCAGCCGCTGAATGGAGTTCCCATCCGGGTGGCCCCCGGGAAGAAGAAGGCCAAGGCAGCTGCCCCCAAGAAGAAGATTGTTGCTGCTGATCAGGGGAAACCCGTAGATATGCCGGAGGGGTATTCCTGGCTCAATACTGCTGCCTTGGAGATAAAGTCGAAGGCGGACAGGGCGGACCTCTACGTCACGCAGCTACACGTAGGGCCCTCGGCCGTGGTGGTCGAGCCGGGAGTTGACGACGTGCTATCTCGGGCGCCCGAGGGGTGTATTGCAGTACACGTACTGTCGGTCTCCATGGGCCTTCGGTTCCCTCTGCACCCCTTCCTCCGGGAGTACCTCAGGTTTGTTGGCTTGGTACCCTGCCAGCTGACACCTAATAGCCACTCCTACGTGGCGGGTTTTTTGAACCTCTGTAGGGACCGAGGGGTGACCCCCAGCCTGGACTTGTTCTTCCAGAGCTTCAACCTCTGTCGAGGGGGTCATGCGAATGCCGAGGGCTTCGCCAACCTGCAGCAGGTAGCCAGGTGGAAGCTATTTACGGAGGCGCCTTCGTCCAATAAGGGCTGGAAGGAGCGCTGGTGCTACGTCAGAGTTGCTGAGAACCCATTTCCGGTGGAACTTCGGGATCGCTTCCGTCGGCATCCGAAGGTTGGAAGCGCCGCCCTCGAGAAAGATGGCCTGGTGATAGCCAAAATCCCGGAGGGTCGCACGAAGCAGGTCTCTATCAAAGACTACACTGCCGATAAGGGACTCTACGCCCTCGGCTTTCGGAGATATCGCTTCATTGGGGAAGCGGACGAGAAGTACCCCATTTTTGCTGAGGCCTTCGGGGGAGCAGGAGGTAGTCTACGAGGGCCCTTGGTTTTCATATCTTAGCACATAGTTTATCTGTTCGTTTTTTTTTATTCCTCGTGCCTTCGGTTAGTAACCCCTCGATTTTAACCCCATACTATTTTTGCAGGTGTCCCAGTGAAAATGATGAACGTCAAAGGCCTTGCGGACCTGAAGAAGAAAAAACCTTCCAAGGGCCCGAGGGGGACGGACGCTGGTGTCCCGAAACCCGCCGGTGACTTTTTCAAGAAGCCGGAGGGGCCATCGGCGGGCCCAAGTGCTGACGCGACTACCGCCGCCAAGAGGAAGGGCACGGGCAGAGATCCCGAGGGCAAAAAGCCCAAGACCGGGGATGCCGGGAAGAAAGTCCCCCCGGTGATGATTGTTGATGAATGCCCCGCCTCCGGGGCGCATGAGGAGATGCAGGTGGCGAAAGTGTCGTCGGGTGTTCAGGGGCCATCTTCCGAGGTCCTTATGGTTTCCCTCCCGGCTGGTACGGCCGTGATGAACGGCACGGCTGACCCGAGGGCGCTTCTGAGAGGCATAACCCTCGAGATTGACAGAGTAGCCCTCGGGGCTGATGAAGATGAAGCCCTCGAGGACAGGATCCTCTGGTCTTCCCTCACGGTAAGTCTTTGATGGTTATATCTTTCTTCTTTACTTTGATCTAAGCAACCATGTTCGGCCCTGCTAACTCCTTTGTTTTTGTAGACCTGCATTGCCCTCGGGGAGCAGGCCCGACGGCTAGAGGAGTGGCGCCTTCGCAAGGCTGAGCAGGATGCTAAGACGCGGGAGCTCATCCGCCAGAATGTTGATGCTGTCCGGCAGATGGCTATGCTGGAGGAGAGCCTTCGGCAGATGACCCTGCGGGCGGAGGCCGCAGATCGGGGCAGGGCGAAGGCTGAGAGGTCCGCAGCTGAGGCTTTGGAGAGAGCTGCCAGGGAGGCCGAGGCCGCGAAGATGGAAGCCGTCGAGAGAGCCCGAGGGGACGCAATCTCG